TATATATATATATATTAAAATTTTAAAATTATTAAATTTTTAATAGGAGAGATTAAAATCGCACAATTATGATATTTGAAGGACTAAAATTGTTCAATTAAAAATTGAAGGACAAAAATTGCACAACTTCAATCCTTTAGGGATTAAAATTACCCAATTAAAACCTTAGGGATCAAAATTGCACAATTACAATACTTGAGGGATCAAAATTGTAATTAAGCCAAAAACTTATTATTAATCTTATCAAATTATATAAAGTTGTTAATATTTGGAGTAATTTCTTCCAAAAACTTTCATCTAAAATAGGAATAATTAAGAAAAATTTTGTTGGTTCTAAATAAGGGTTAAAAATTGATTAGTATTAAGATAATTTGATTCTAAAATTATTTATGGATAATGGTTGATTTATCACATGTATTTTATATAAAAATCATTTAAAAAAAAAAAAAGAAAAGAAAAGCAAGAAGCGCTTATTTTAAAATATGCGGTTTAGACAAATACTAAAAACTAGAAAATTGTTTATTCTATTAATTAAATATTTTTTTTAGATATGATTCTTTAAATCAATTTATTTTGTTCTTATGAATTTTTTATATTAAAAAATATTTTTTTTATTTATGAACATTTCAAATTTGTTATTCATGACGTGACAACAAATTAAAATTTATATTTGACATGATAAATGTTGTCGTATTATCATTTTTCTTACAAGTTTACAAGTACACATATTAAAATTGAAATTAATGTTAGAATTACAGTTGAGAAAAGATAACATAAAATTATGATGTCAATTTAATTAAAGAATAATTTCATAGAATTAAGTCTATATTTATCATAGAATTAAGTTTGTGATTAAAGTGCACATTGTTTTTTAGTTATTATATAGTAATGAATGAATATTGAAATCCTCAAAACAGGAACTAATGCTTCCACCATGTGATGAGAGGTTCTAGGATTAGGAGGGACAATTAGCTTGTTTGGATTAGTTTACTTTAAGGGTAGAAAATGTTATTAACTGTTACAAGAATTTTTTGAAAATAACAAGAGTAAATATGGATCTTCTGATTATGTTTTTAATTTGTTCAAAGTTGAAACCATTTTCTTTCTTAGTATAAGAGATTTATAAAGTAACATGCCGTTCCCTTGATTCTCTTCACTTGAAAAGAATCCTTGCTTATTAACAGGTGCATTTCTAATTTCTAGTCTTTTGTACTATTAACACCAGCGTTGAAACCATTTTGTACTAATTTCTAATTTCTAATTTCTATTATTTTGGATTTTTATTTCATTTTTATGGTTATGTTGTTGTTAGGTGTCATCAATATTTATCCGCTTTATTAAAATTTATACATAAGCAAGTATATTACAATTTGTTTCTGTGTGTTTTGTTATTGTAATTTGGTGGCCAAGTTAATCTTGATGCACATTATTTATCCATTATATATAGATAAAAAAATCTGTCTAAGATTTATGTATTTGTTCATTACAGGTATTCAAAAAGAATCTTAAAACAAACATGATTTTCTTTTTTTTTTAAAATGCAATCTACATTGGTTTTCTAAATAACCGATGTAAATTTATGCATAAATCTATATCGGTTTTCCTGAGAACCAATGTAGATTTATGTATAAATCTACATCGGTTCTCAGGAAAAACGATGTAGAATATGCATAATCTACATCGGTTCTAAAATCGATGTAAAAGTGTATACATTTTCTAAGTCGCTCTGTTCTACATCGATTTTAAAACCGATGTAGATGACTTCGCAGAACTGATGTAGATAATATACCCTGTAGTAGTGATCATACGGGTACACATACTAATTTTACAAAAGTTTCCTACAAAAATATTTCTATAGAATCACGAGAGTCTAATATTTTTTAATTTAAAAGAAAATTATATTATGATCAAAATAACACATTATCTTTATTTGTCTATTTGTTAAGTAATAT